GATCACAAATGACGTACATAAAAAAAGAAAAAAAAGAAAAAAAGATGAAAAAGACGGATGCTGGAAGAGGCAGGAAGCCAAGCAACACATTAGAGGACGTGCAGTCAATCAAGCATGAAATAATCAGAGCACTACTGGGCTGCGCATCAGTGGATAAATTCATTGGAATCGCAGAGTCTAAGGTTCCCAGGAAAGAGACTAATTTAGTAAAAGGTGGAGCGTGCTTAGGTCTCGTCTCGCACACGGTCGTAAATGGTACGGACACGTTGCTACTATGGAGCAAAATCAACGTTGCATCAATGGCCATTTCCAGGAATGATTTTTTTGTGTGTGGCGCTGTGCTCTGAGGTACACTTTCATTCACTTGACGCACTACACGTCTCAAGCTAAAATAATTAACATTCTAGTTGATATTTAAATGGACCAAAATACATACCGTGGTTGGAACTCAAAACTGATTAGGCTAGGCCCCCGAAAAAAGAATGGATTATCTGGTAAAGTGAAAATTTTATACATATGACCTTCGCTCACAACATAGCGTAGCATTTAACACAGTAGTCAACATCAAATAAATGTTGAGTGCAAAATAATGGCCCAGCGCACGATTACTCATGAAAATTCATGAAACGTGGAGGACTATATTGGAAATTTTATGTTGATTCATTAATCCCATATACTTTGCAGCATCATTTTCACTATATCACATATCAGTATGTCATTTCGTAAATGCTGAAATTTTGGTCAAGCATCCCGAACTGCCCTTCATGTCAGACATCTGAAATCAGGTAGAATAAGACATAACTTAGTTTAAATCACGTAGAATACGACAAAACTCAAGTACTTTTTACTAATGCGCAAGAAACGGACGAGGGGAACCATGAGCTATTTATTGGGAGCTCCTGTCAGCTGAAAAGCAAGCCAACAAGCAAGCACGCAACAGGATGATCACCAACTGAGTTCTACGCTTGGCAAAACAAACACGATCTTAACATCACTAGAGAAATATAAAAACAAGTAATACAGTTCTCCAATACGATGAGTTTTTTTAAGGAAATGACTCAATTACACAGGCAATGGTGGCTTTGTACGGATAGAATTATGAACAGGGGACAGCTTGACCTCCTGCTAAAGGAGCGAGCGACACACGGACACCCCATTACCACGGCGGTCAACACGACACTGATGAGCCTCGGCGCCCGGGCTCACAGACACAGTGCGAGCGGCGTACCGAACTTCAAATGAACGCTAAAAGGAGCGAGTGTTTGTTCACTTCCTCTGACGTTGTATGAAGCGCTTACTGGCTCACTGCTCTCAAGCTTACACCTGTCTCTTATACACATCTAGATGTGTATAAGAGNCTCTCAAGCTTACACTGCTTAGTGCTTCACAAGCGTGTACTGGCTCAATGCTTAGCAAAAGTTTAACGTCTCATTGCTTCACAACCGGATACTTGTTCCTTGATTCCCCCTGTCACCGGCGTACATTGCTTCGTAGCTTCTCAGAAAAAAAAAACTGCTTAATCAATAGCCCACAAATTCTCCCAGCTCCATTGATGTTATAACATGAACGCTTCTGGCGGGAAACAGAATGGGCCTAAAACCGGCGTAATAACGAACTTTTAAGAAACATCCTAGCCAAAAAAGCCCTATCTCCGTCAGTAACAACAGACGATATATGGTCGAGCGCGAGACTTTACTCGATGCCAAACTTTTGTTGTACGCTGCTTCAACTTCAATTTGAAGACCAACGAGTAAAGTACTTAACAGCTTACACAGTGAGGATCCGGTGCGGCTAGATTGTTAATACTCTACTCGAGGAATCGTTATCACCGCCCCCGCTCAGACAAAAACGTACACGGAGCCTTCTGCACAGCTACAGGAGGCGCGCGCACAGGCAGGTGCGTGTACGGCACAGGAAGGGTATGTGTGCGCATGACGCGTGTGCGTTCACGCAGCACTCGGAGACGCACATGCGTTCAGTCGTGTGGAACAAACACAAGTCTCATACCAACGTATGATATTTTAGTCTCTGATGAAAACTTGAATACAAACACTATAAGCAAATAAGTGAATGACTTCAGACAGAAGGATAATATTAAGAAAGCCTCTTCACCGCGATACACTAGGAAGATCAATTTGTTTTTCATACAAGTTCAATATCTACTGCAAGACTAATATAGGATTTCTAGTACTGGGTCTAATTTTCCCTGATGAATGAAATGAAAGCTTGCAGAATGTGTGTTTAATCCGCAATTCAAATCAAATGGCAGTCCAGCAATGTGACACGAAAAGATAATTGATATTTGTCAATTCGCTCGCAATCCTGTATCCTAACGATCACAAGTTAACATGTAGTTTTTGGCAAGAAAAAAGGTGCCGGGATCGAGAAGAGGCATTACTCTTACGCACGTATACGTTACGCATTAATAAAACCAATTCATATTTACGCAACAATTTTCCAAAACAACTATAATATCAGAGCTCTTTGAGCAGATAGCGCGACCATACACGTGATGGCGCCTAGCGTGCGACAACAAGAATAACAAGAATGTGCAGATATCGATGGCCTTGTCACACGCATTTCGGTCGCCATATCGTGAGTGCGTCCTCATAAAATATGAGGTCACAATTATATTATTGCCCTAAAATAAAAGTCTCGATAAAGAAACACATTCGAAATCTTGCGATGCATTCTACCAAAATTGCCGATTATATCGGCGTACAGAGAAATCCCCTTCAACTATTAATCATTTCGTCGATCAATAATATCAAAACTGTTAACTCCGTGAGCGCAATTTCAAAACATAAATTCTCTGATATACCGATAGACAAAATTTTTCTTAAATAGAAAGGAGAGCATAATAAAATAAAAAGACGCGTTTTGGCAGAAAACAGAAGTAACACGGAGATGAGAAGAGCACCCAAAAGGAAGAAGGCGAGCATGACGAAGAGAAAGGTTGCGTGTAAACGAATAATAATCTTTGTCTTTGACGTTGAAATAACAAGTGAATGACGTTGAAATAACGAATTAGTATAATAATATGACGTTGAAATAACGTCTACGTGGCAAGTAGACGCAGTAGGCAAACGAATAATAATAATAATAATCTATAATAATCTCCCAAAGGAAGAAGGCGAGCACGATGAAGAGAAAGGTTGCGTGTAAACGTTGCGGCGCGTAGCACAGGTTGCGGTGTAAGCCTAACAGCCTGACGCCGCTGCTTCATGAAGATGCGAGTGTGTGGACGCTCGCTGACCTTGGAACACAAGCTCACGACCTGCTAGACTTCACCTCCTGGCTTGAACCTCTCGTATTCCTGAGCCGCGAACCTTATAACCTTCTCATACAAAACAACGCTTTCAAACACGACAGTTTCCTCATAGTTATCTCAGAAAACACTAGTTTTCGTGTCACCCGCTGGCGATTTCCTCGAGTCAAGTCTTCCCCAGAAACAAAGAGAGGTGATACTTGAGTGAACTAATTGCATTATTCACGCGACATGCAACATTCTAAGAAACATTACTGAACAATATAGTCATTAAAAACGACACACTTAACTTCAGCATTAAGATAGCATAGCACCAACGAAAGATTTCGATCGAATATTAATAATACATTATGAATATTATGAATCAACTTCAGTTGTTTTCAAATGGCTTCCATAGAAATATTCGTATGTCGTGAGTTACAAGTCACCTATCATAATAAAAAAGTGAAATGTCATATGCAGCACGATACTAATATTTAAGAATCCTGTATAAGGCGAAACAAACAGTCGCCGCCGACACAAAATAAATAAGACAATTTAAATACACACAGCTGGAGTTATTTTTAGTTATTCTGTCTGATTTTTACAACTTGCACGCTAAATGAATAGAAAATAATGAAACTTTGAGCTCTAAGTTCAAACAAACTGACAAATCGTTCATCAATCTATAGGCAGATTGAGAGCGTCGTCAAGGCGAGTCAAGATCATAAGATTGAAATAGAATAGTCATGTCAGCACGAATGCATAAATGAACCAGGAAAAGGAAACACTGAGCCATAGAATTTAGTGCAACAGGCACGTGGATTGTATCAAAAATATACGGTCTTGGAAGTTGATGATACAACAACAAATTATAAGAAGAATAGGGGCGTTGCAGTGCCTTGTCGGGAAATAACTACAAGTCATTGATCATAAACACTACAACTATAAGTCAGTGATACAAATTTGTCGTAAATATTTTAAGAATTTTGACAGCCTTTATGCATCATTTATGCGTATCCAATAAAGTCTTCCAGAATATACAAATTTCTGGCGTTTTCAAGGCAACTTCGTAAATTTTCCTAACATAACTTTATTAATCAATCATTCAGTAATTTTATGAGTGCCCCATTTGATAACATCATATATAATATTTTAAATTATGGCACTGGAGTATCTATACAAGAGTTATTTGAGTGTCGCAACACGCAGCGTATCGGGATATCATCAAGATAATACGGATAAAACCGTACCGAAAAGAAATAAACAATCGAACGGATAAAACCGCTTTGAAATTGTTTCGGACATAAACGATATAAATATGTAGATACGGCCCAAAAATTAGAATTTAATAGGGAAAATCATACCATATCTCTCATCCAGCGGTAAATTACACGCCTGTAAATGTATTTTAGGGAGCTTGAGAATCACTTCAGAGCCACGCAGGTTCGAAGACCAGTTAGTAACATATAAAACAAGTAACTATCGCCATGTAAGATTGCTCGTTCGCTCAGTAAAACCCTCATGTTGAGAATGCTCTTTTAGTATTCTACAGGTTCGTCTAAGACTGCCTATCGGAAGTGTACAGGTTCGATATGACTGCCTATCGACAGCTTGTGGACGGAGGACGACGAAAACGGCGGACCAGCGCGGCCATGGATCAGGAAGTCCTAAATTTGGCTTAAAGATACGAGAATTAAAATAAGGTGGCTATTTTAAACGTAGAATTAATGGGGATTTAATGGGTACTCACTGGACGTCTTCTGTCCCATGGTCATACGATTGCGGCTGCGTGTTGTTCTGAGGTGCCTGGACGCCCCGGGTGATGATGTCGCTGCCGCTGCTGCAGTGACGCCAAGAGATGAAGACCCGCCGCGGGGGGAAGAATTTCCCGACGATGACCCGCGTTGGGTGTTCGGTGTTCCTGGAGTTGTGCTCCGCAGCAGTGAAGAAACCGTCAACGACGAGGTACCGTTCGCTAAGTTCTCGTTGTTACCGCTGTCGCTGCTGCTACTGCTGCTGCTCCAACTGCTGTTACTGCAAGACCGTGGTCGAGACGACACGTCTCCAGGTTGCGTTTTTTGAACACTAGTCCGTCCTCCGGGGGAATTTTTAGACCTAGGTTTCTGTAACCGGGACGAAGAGATGCAAGACGCTGGAGAGGAATTGCCTGAAGTACCTGAAGCCCCACCGCAAGATCCGTTTGTTGTAGGAGGCGAAGTAAAAGTCGGCCGGGGTCGAACGTTCCGATAGCCGAGGTGATTGCTGCGAGGTTTGGTAAGAGAATTTCCGGTTTTGTATGCGTGATTGCTGTTTACTTGGCGATGTTCGTCGGTGGCCACAGCGTTGTAACCATTGCTCGAGTGCAGGGAGTCCCTGTGACTAGCCTGCAACGAAAAAAAAACGTTAACATAACTCGCCAAGCATCAGGTTCACTTATGGATTTCAAGACCAGAAAAATGACGAGTATGATTCGAGCCTTTAATACTTTGAATAGCAGTAGAGCATCAAAAACGAATTTCGCCCCAATCTTGAGATGGCATTAAACGAATCTCTTATCGCGAGATTCAGGATTCAAATTTATTTCCTACCACACGGTGTTGGCTTCAATTCGAGATGTAAGCCTATTCTCATTTGCTAGTTCTTTTTTTTAATGAAACATATGAAGATCAATAGCCACCTGCTGCATTACGTACTTGATGATTTTCTTTCTCAGCAAACATCGTTGACAATTTTTTGCGGATGATCAGTTGATAGAAATAATTTAGCAGACGAATCAGGATGACATAATAGCCGCGGTGCTCTTGTCAAGTAGCCTAGAAACGTAACTATGATACGCGATAGGTTTCATTGAGCAATTATCTTTCAAGGACTCTTCGCAACATGATAGACTCACGGAGTGGGATCACCTTATATACGCGCCGACGCACAAATGAGCATAGAGTTATTGGTATGTAAGACTATAATACTTGGTCCATAACTTCAACACAATGTTATTTCGGTGGGCGGTATTCCGGACATTGCAGTCTGTAAGTATGCTGCAGGTAATCTTTTAGCTATGTTATGTTTCAACAGAACAACAAGATGTGCTCAAAGAATTGATCTCACTTGTTTGCTTAAATCGCAAATTAACTAAGAATTTAAAAACAAGGAATAGTCCACAAAAATTCATATTTTTATAGAACACTTTTCGGAGACCAGCTCCATCGTCAGTTCGTAGAATCAGTAAAACGTTCCCTTTACTACTTCCCTTTACTTTACTTTTTACTTTACTTTACTAAAGGGAACAGTGAAAATAAATTTCGCTGTGAAAAGGGAACTGTGAAAATTTTCACTGTTCCCTTTACCACGTTTTACTGATTCTACGAACTGACGATGGAGCTGGTCTCCGAAACGTTTTCTATGAATGAATTTATATCACTTGTTTGCTTAAATCGCAAATTAACTAAGAATTTAAAAGCAAAGAAAAGTCCACACAAATTCATATCTTTATAGAAAACGTTTCGGAGACCAGCTCCATCGTCAGTTCGTAGAATCTAGAATCACAAAGCAGAAGTCACAAATTAATACATTGAAAGCACAGAAAGAAATTAAAAACCTAAATTTACAAGTAATAGACAGAGCAAAAAAAATGAACTATCTATTAACAATTTCAAGGGGATAGGAGCTAGCAGCTGAATTCAAACTGGGCCTAAGTTTAAAGATGTACAGTGATTCTAAAATGCGCAAATCGGAAGTCCCGGAGGTGGAAGCTAACACCCTAAAGTCACTGTCAGAAATAGGGACATCACACTGCTCGGCGTGAGCGCGCACAGCCGAATGAGGTGGGCGCGATAGCAACTGTCCGGTTCTACAACTCCTGCCCTTATGCTCAGAGACCCTGGTATAAAGATTGCGTGACGTCATCCCGACGTACGCAGATGCACATCGTGCACAACAATATTGATAAACCAGGGACGATCGCATATGAACAGGGAGCATATCTTTATATCTAAAGAAAGAACCGATTGTGAAATTGTTAACCAGCACAATATGAAGATTGACATTTGGGAAGTACCTATTGAACAAAACTTTTAATTCTCTTGACATAGCTTCGGACGCAGGGCCGAAGTATGGAAAAGAACAATAAATAACTTTCCTACTATCGCGCTCAGGAGCAACCTCACTGTATCGCTTCGACATGAATTTCTTGATTTGGGTAAACACCAAACTTGCTGGAAATCCATTAAGCGAGAAAATATTATTGCGTAAAAATTCAAATTCAGCGTGCATAGCATGGTATGTGGAACAAATGCGAAAACCTCTGTGTAATAATGTTTGAAGCCCATTTAACTTGAATCGGAACGAACAAAAACTAAAGAAACTGGTACTTAGGCCGGTGAAAGTCGGTTTTCGGTATACAGAAGTCAGAAAACGGCCATTAGATTTGGTAATATTGCAATCGAGGAAGGACAAACTATTGTTAGAATGAAGATGTGCTCAACCATGCAAAGTTGGGTGATTATGCTGTAAACTGAACTTTTCATCTCGCGATTGTATTAAAGACGAACTCAGGGAAAAATAGATAATTTTAGGTTCACGACCACGATCAGAACCAACAACCGATGTAATGTGTTTAGTGATGAAAGGATATACAGTGATGAATAAGAAGCCATACAAGGAGGAATGGGGGCGGGTATTGTACGTTTGAAGGGATGTGAAAGGTACTGGAGCATTTGATGGTGGAATCTTAAGCGTGGGAAAGATGACTAATGATAGTGATTCTGAAGGGAAAGATGAGTAATGATAGCGATTCTGAATGAGGGAGCGAGAAAAATACCTAGCTGGTGTTTGAGAGAACACGTCAAGAGTGAAATGTAGTGATTGAAGTTTTATTAGAGGTAGCAACTGTGACTGCGATTGAAATTGCTAAAATATGTTCGGAGAGAATGTGGAAGCTGACAGAAACGAGAATAATGGCATGAATATTCTGGAAGATAATTGTAGGTAAAATAACGAAAATAGGAACAACAAACATTAGTTTTGAAAATATACGAATAATAAAAAAATGATAATGAATAATAACCATTAAGAATATTTATCTATAATGTGAATCCAGTTTTCAATTGATAGATAATGATTTCATCACGTATATAAGGTTTTTTATTTCAATATGAATGTCTCTCTTAGTCCTGGTGCAGTCGAGGGAAATGCTTATAAATATTTTTAATATGCTGTATTCAAACTAGCAGAATGTGTGCCTATTCTCATTTTTTTATGTATAACAAAGATCAGCATGACTGACAAATGCTAAAGTCTGACATGAGGTCTCTACGCCCAACATTCAAGCCATTGAAGTGAAAGTGAGGAAACTATAAAATCATAAGATCCCATGCTTTCTCCGCATGGTAGCATTGCTAGTGCAAGTAGCAAGCATTTTCATTTGGCCAACTTCTACTATTTCTTTCATTATGTTAATAATGCAATCTCCCGTCTGGTTTGATGGTAAGTCCGGAGTAACTCTACTAAAATATGAGCTTTGGCACAGTAATACCAAAATTGATCAACTCTTCAGTTGTAATGTTGTTCCATCATTAACATCATCCATATTAGGACGGATCCTAACTTTTTTATTCACTACTTTAAGTATTGTTGTCTTAATTCAATTTGTCTGTGTTTTTAGTTGACACTAAGTAGTAACTCGTATCATAGAGCTGATAATAATTCAATAATTAAGTAGCAAGACTTAAGACTTGAATTTTTGTTTGAGTGTAGACTAAATGAACTAAAAAAGACAGTTTTTGCATCGAGTTATGTTTTTGTTACACAAAACACCTTTAGCTAAACCTTAAAAGAACTCAACAATAAGGGCAAATTGACTTTGTCCTGAGTTTACTTGGTTTTCGTACGGTTTCAAGGTTTAAGCTTTGCAGAAGCGGCCGTCAACTATAACCACACCCACACTTTTGAAAGCACGATAATTACGCACTGCCAAATTAATAAAAAAATAAAATCCCTCCTATTACACTAGAAACTTCTTGCTTCAATACATAATTAAGTTTTACCCAGTCATTGGGATTGTTGGATTGTGAGACACATGAACATTTGACTCAGCAACAGCGGCGAGGCCAAGATAAGCCTACTGAATTTTTGTTGCAATTCCAATATTTCATAACTTCTGGTTACAATAGGTTAAAAATTGTCCAGTGCATTAAGAGTTCTAGAGTGACATGATGTACTGACCTTATAGCCTCTAGAAGCGTTCGTAGCAGGCACAGATGTCAGGGAGGAAGGAGGACCGGAATAGTTCAGTCTCTGCTTATTGCTCGCCGCCAGAGGAGATGTGGGACTCGTGTTGTTCTGGTTAAGAGTTTGCTGCGAGGCTTTGATGCTCGTCAGGTTGCTGTTGTTGGGCGACGTTGATGAAGTCAGGATGGCACTATTGCTCTTGATGGGTGCTTTATGTTCACACCCAGACGATATCTGCAAATGAAATAGAAACTAAGACAAAGAAGTAACAGTTTTAATGTCACAATTTTCATCAAAAAATGTGTGCTGCCAAATTACTTGTATTCAATTATTAGAATCAGAAAAGTTTTCATCGGCATAAGTCGAGTGTTGCAAACTGTTGCCGACAGCTAACATCAGAACAAGCTTGATGATAAGGCTGGAGGGATCACCGGTACAGGCTGAGAACTCATAGTGGCTGAGATACAAATTGGACACATTTGCTAAGAGAATAAATCAGAAAAAATGTAAAGAAATTGATTTAAGTACCCAGAATACACAGCTGAAAATGTTTCGCATCATGAAAATTTTAAAATAGGACTAAGCTTAGCGTAAAGCCTAATGCAGAATCAACCTAATAAATAACTTTATATGCCAATTCAAGGAGTCGAATCTTATCACAGCAATACCCATCACAAATGAAATATGAAAAACGGAAATCAGCAATGAAACATTATATTCACCTGTGGCGTTTTCACTAGAGGCATGAATGCGTCAAAAAATGAATGCGTCAAGGCAAGGACGTCAAAAAATGAACGTGTCAATTGCTAAGATAGGCAGACAATGAACGTGTTACTAAGATAGGCACCATACAATGAACGTGTCAGTTGCTAAGATAGGCAGACAATGAACGTATAGCTAAGACAGGCACCATACAATGAACATATTACTAAGACAGTCACCATACAATGAACATCTTACTAAGAGTCACCATACAATGAACATATTACTATAAGGCAGTCACCATACAATGAACGTATTGCTAAGGCAGTCACCATACAATGAACGTATTGCTAAGACAGTCACCATACAAAGAACGTATTGCAAAGACAGTCACCATACAATGAACATATTGCTAAGACAGTCACCATACAATGAACGTATTAATAAGACAGGCACCATACAAGGAACGTATTGCTAAGACAGGCACCATACAATGAACGTATTGCAAATACAGTCATCATACAATGAACGTATTGCAAATACAGTCACCAAACATTGAACGTATTGCAAATACAGTCACCATACAATGAACGTATTGCAAATACAGTCACCAAACAATGAACGTATTGCAAATACAGTCACCAAACAATGAACGTATTGCAAATACAGTCACCATACAATGAACGTATTGCTAAGACAGTCACCATACAATGAACATATTACTAAGACAGTCACCATACAATGAACGTATTGCTAAGACAGGCACCATACAATGAGCCTATTACTAAGAGTTACCTGGTTCCTAAACCTCCTGGCCCGCTGTTGCGTGGTCGCTGCGGTGGTGCCTGCAGCCGTGCGGGGGGACCTGCGAACCCTTCTCTCGCCACCGCCACCTCGGGCACTGTCTCCTCCGCCGCCGCCGCCTGCGCGGTGCGCTTCCGCTTTTATTTTCCTGCTCCTTCCACTCTCGTCGCTTTCAAACCTGAAATCAGATATTATTTTAGAAAATTCTATGTATTCATTCATATTACACAATGAGCAACATCGCTGTAGCATATTTATAGTACTAAAAGTACTAACTCGATCAATTAGCATATTTATAATACTAAAACTACTTTATACGTAAACAGATCAATGCATGGTTTCGAGGGCAAAACTTATAAACGAATAGTATTGCCTCGCAGGACTGTCATAACAAAAATTTGTGCGCAAGAAGTGGTAGCAGAATTCAGCAAAATTATCTCGTTAAAAAAGAAGAGTTGCTCCCCTTGGGACACAGATGCTTGTTTATGCATCAGCCTTTCACTGCAGCAGCTACTGCTGTCTCAAGTGGGTCAACGCGTGCAACTGGCAAAACAATGGACCAAATCTCAACTCATTCATCAATAGCTCGACTACGATAACTACATAAGAACCATGGTTAGAAGCTGTAATGTTGCGAGAGAGCAATTAGAAGAGGGCACATGACCTGCTTCTCGATGCGTGACAAAAAAGAAGAAGAGCATCCGTAGAAACGCAGAGTGCAATAAGGTTAAGCAGGGCACGCAGATAACGTGAACCAGCGGAGCTCTCCATTCTTCAGTATAATAGTCAAGATTCATCAAGGGAACCCATTTTTTCATCACAAGTCAACTAGCTTTATAGTTAACAAAGACTAGGGCTCATGAAATATGAAAAAACAATCAATTATACTTCATGAAACGCATGAAAACAGCGATACAAAAATAGATAGTATTGGAACCCACGATTGAGTCTTGCTTGACATGTATGTAATCATGAAAACTACGTTCAGTAAAAATAACGAAATAATTCTTATTCGAAATAAGGCAAATAAGATATCCACGGAGCTACACAAGTGCATTTTTTAAACAGAAGGTGGTCAAAGAGTACATTTTCTTTTCTCGTCGTGCATCAATTCTAGTTGAAGTTTTCTTTAATAAAAAACCATGATACAATCGAGCTAGCAAATTCAAACAAAATAAAACGCCTGATGCAAAGTATATATAAATTAATATAATAAGCATAGGTGACAGGCTTATTCAAAGAGACAGGCAAGTGCGCACCTTTAGTACATACAGCAGCTGCGTATAGAAGTAACGGAGTACAGGCTCTCACAGCGGTCAATACCGGCTCGCAGGGATAACGGTCTACTGGCTCCAAATAACTGACTTGCAACGCTCCAAATGGCCCTAGGTGAACCCACATACTGCGTAAGTTGTTCACTCGCTGACCTCAACTTATGAAATGACATCTTCACACCCAAGAAAAAATCAAGGATAAAATTCATGGTGATCCGATTAGCCACACTGAATAACAAAATTCAATGCTCCTTATGCTTCAATCTCCATAGAGATTTTGATTATGTAGATCATTACTTTCTTATCTTATTCTAAGTGATGATTTTTAGAGCTTAATTTTTTATCGTGATAAGAACGCAAATGGTCTTTCAAAAATAGTTGAAGTGGATGGACTGAAATGATTCTTTGCCCCTGAAGCATTGATCAGAAAACGCACGTATTCAATAGAGAAAGCTTTCGCGAAGTAGCACAGGTGCAAGCTTTGGGCGAAATAATGTAAATGACGCCACGTACTCATTAGATGACAATCTGTCGCGGGTTTACTCTCTCATTGCCTATAAGAAGTGATAACGTGGTATGTAGAATAGTGTTGGCAACTGCCCTAGCTTGTGCTGAGTTACAGGTTATGGTGAAAGGTGTTGACCCTCGAACGTGTATGAACGAACATCAACCTACAATTCGTCGACGCCCCTCGTCCGTTCCGGGATTATATAACGAGGCGCGAGGACAGCGTTACAGGGAATAAAAGTCACCATCGCTTAACTTGAAATGATTAGATGAATGAGAGCTAAAACACGTAGAATCAAAAGTGTTAATCGGGACACGTGATCAGGTGTAAATGTGAATGCAAACGTACAGCTTATGCTTTAATTTTATAGCAGCCACAGCAGGCAAAGAGAGTTTCTAAAAAATACAGATAGACGAGGATTTAGAATAGTTTAAATAACATCGTAGAAACTAAAATGAGAGAAAGCACTTTCACAGCAAGAGTAACAATTTTTGTCAACAGTGACTGCAGTTTAAGCCCATGCAGAAACAATAGAGGGACATTTCAATCGAGTTCTAATGACCCCATTGAAAGAGCTGACGAAGAAGAGGTGGAGCAGGAGACTATAGCGGTTGCTTGCCACGATAGCAAGAAGAAACATATGGTCAAGGTCATCAACATACAGGTTGGTCGGTTGAGACGACACGACCGGCGATCGGAGCACCAGCTTGCAAAACTCCTAGAAAGTAAGGGTCAAGTAACGCAACGTCATGACACATACCCTTGACTGCATGGTCGGCGTGGAGACATGCGATTTAATGCGATCATCATACGACACAATTGCGCGCTAAATGGCTCGCTCCCTTAAATGGCGGGTGTTTGTATGAGCTATATTGTAAGTGTGGAATGCCACGTACTTCAGTGCAGGGATTTGATTATTCCTCAAAAACATGTATTATGTAAAAAAAAATAAGTAAGACTTTTCCTCAGCCGATTTCAAGAAAAATTTACAGGTAGCAAAATTACCACGAATATCTGAGAAATGAATGATTTCTGGATTTGATTCGCTTCTACATTTGTTTTAATTATAAATTTTCAGAGGAGCAGGTGTCCAGTTCTCATCAATGAAGCACATCAGCCAGGGTCATAGCACACTCAGGCACAACATACCTTAAGTTTGCAGCCTGGCCGGAGAGGCCTAGCAGCGACTGACAAGAGTCATGTGCTTCACTCCCATCATTTACCAAGAAATTCATACAGGAGTTGGACTTTTATCAAACGCGTTTATTAATGATGGAAAATCCACATAATACGGCTCACATTTGACATGTGTATGGACTTGCAGAAAACCACTGGACGCTGAGCGTTCCGGGGACGCCATGTTTTGGCATCGTTTGCGCGACCGATAATATCGGATGATGGCGGGCATATATCTTCCTAATCTAGCAATGACGTTAAACAACGTTGAATTGCCGTTGATTCAGCCAAACAACGTTGAAAGCTCGTTGATTCAGCAAAGCAACGTTGAATTACCGTTGATTCAGCCAAACAACATTGACTTCAACGTCAGATGTCTGAGCAGCGCTGTTATCGACCATTGTCATCTTCTCTCTCCCCAGACGCGTCCCAAGTTGCGAAGATATCAATTCCAAATGTAATGAATGCGAGTACAAAGAATTTCTCTCATGCGGTGCAAAGCTCAAATACTTTGCTTCGTGCAAAGCCTGAACATTTTATTGATGGGAACATTCCCGAGATGGAAAATACAACCGAGCAGAGTGAAGCATTGGACTGCATGGACAGCTGTGGACCTTGAAAATATATAAGTTAGCGCTTTGAAACTGCCATATGTTCAGTTAACCTATTCATGTGTCCTGATGATCCTTCCTACTTTGGGATTGATTAAGATGAAAATTATTCTAACACAGGGTAGGATGTGAGATTTTTAGTTGGCATGAATTGAGACTTGCGTGGCTACTCAATACGCTTTCATGGCAGTGATAAGCCTGACGACCAACAGACCTGCAGCTTCAGGGCAGGATATTTCCTCGCGTTCAATACCACAGCGACGCTCCGGCCAGGAATTTGGCACGAAGTTTTTAGCTTCCTCACTGTAGCATCTTTTTTATAACAGATTACGAACATCGCCATTACACATACGGCCAAACTGCTGCGCGAGCTCGACAGATCAACGATAATTTATGTCTTTAGTTAATAATGAAATTTCGTTAGAGTTGTTAAATTGGAAGTCCCGTCAGAAATGCTTAAATAATCTACTGAACTAAGAACAATTACTTGGTAAAGGTAGGATAATGCCTTCAGTTTTCTACAGCCTTGGATGACCGAGCAAGCGCTGAAACCATATTGGGAGCTATTAATAAAACTGGTGTTAAAGCTATAAATAAAACCCTTGCTGCCGATGTACTCTCATTTCCATGAAAATTCTTGAATTAGTAACAGAAATCTAGAATTGGTGAAAATTTATAGCTATCTCCTCTCACTAAATTCATATTTTTTCATTCATCAACGCTCGATAGACCTACCTCTGCTCTTAAGTACCTGCTGCAATTTTGTTCAACTGATGATTTTAACTGCAATTATGCATACTCTTTATCAATATTTCTATTTTAACGCATCCATCAGAGATTCTCGGCTTCTCAGCTATCCAAAATATCACTATGTTTTTCACATTCGATGGCATTTAATTATCATATCTGTACGATTCTCGCGTTGATTATAGCCCGTGTATACTGATGACGTAGAAAAATTTGATGGCTAACAGCCTTGATCTGTCATTGTAACTTCTCATGTTGAATTCTCCAACGAAATCTAATGTTGACTTCCTTTACTTCCTATATTTTAATATGCAGTACATAATTCAAAGTTCGTTCAAAATCATAATGAGAATTTCATATTGTCAGACATCAAGCCACTTGTGCACTCGTGTGCCATTATTAAAAATAATGTAGGTTATGTCCATAAAAATCTTACAGGACTCATTATCTTAAATTTGTGGAGAAGGAGAATGAAGAAAAAAACTAAAAACTAAAATGAATAAGGAAAAGAAGAAGGAAAATGAAGGCAGAAAATAAGTTAATTCCCCCCCCCCCCCGCGACACGGGGACCGAGGAGCGTCTGACGGCGCAGCAGCGATCGCGCTGGCAAGTGTTTTCCTTCTTATATTGATTGTATAATATTTATTGTCAGGAATATTGATGATACAAATATTTATTTCAAGGCTGTTGCTTCTTGAACTTACAGTGTTTGTATATTATAATCATTAAAATAATCCCTTATAATATGGAAGGTGTTAATATTCCTTTCAAATAATTTCGCCGGCTATATTGGCGCAATGCTAACAGCGTACGACTGATAGGCCTGAGTAGACAGCGATACGATAGGAGGATTGATTTGTCATAGTCTCTCCCTGAATTAATTGATAGAAAATTCTGCAGATGAGGTGATGACTCATGATCTTGTTACCATGAACCATAATTAGAAATACTTTAGTATGCCTGTAAAAAAATTCTAATAGTTTCCTATTAGTAAATTATGGCATTTGCAATGTAAATAATTCGCACATAAATCCGTCTATATATTCTGTAAAAATGTAATTTTAGATGATATGATAAGTTTGTTGCATTTTCGTGGCCTGAACCGGTTTTTCTTATAGTCTTCATCGTTATAGATATTACATTTCGATTCATCTGTGTGCCGCTAACTTGATGAAGAGGTCGTCCGAATTTAAAGTTATCAAATAAAAGTACTGCCAAATAAAAGATACCATGGTTCAAATGTACCGATGTACATGGTAAATGTGCTACTTGATACAAATGCACTGATGTACTTGGTAAATGTACTGCTTGATACAAATTTGGTATGCTCAGTGGTAAGAATTAAGGGCGGAGTTGTTCATTAGAAGGGACCGTTGAACACAAATTCCACGCATCAAACTCTCCATGAATTATCGAATAGTGATTCTATTTCTCACATTTATTCAGGTGATTATGAAGGAATACAGTTTATTAGCAAAACAACTTTGGCTTCCTATTTTAATGGTTGAATTTACGTGCTCAAAAGCAGTTTAACAATTTGTAAAATTAGTATTAAATAAGACTCTGAATATATTTAGCAGCAATATAACAATATATTGAAAGAATCTTAAAACTATATTTCTTAATGTCACGCGGGAAAATCTTGCCTCCACTTCACCCCCTCACTAATCTCGCCAGACCAGCGGTTCCCAAGCTGGCGTAGGCCTACAGGTGCAAGCAAGGCCTTCCATGTGGTAGTCTCTTATACACATCTAGATGTGTATAAGAGACAGCTTCATAATGTCATAATGTCAAGAGACTTCATAATATGTCATAATATCAAGAGACTTCATAATATGTCATAATANCAGTAATTATGTTCAGACAAGCATCAGTAATTATGTTCAGACAAGCGTCAGTAATTATGTTCAGACAAGCATCAGTAATAATATCTTTTCATTAATCTTGCTATAGAATTTAAAATAATTTCAAAACAAAAATCCTCTATAATGCCCAAAATAAACATTTGATTTGGTAAATCAGATTAATAGAAAAGGCAAGCTTGAAATATTTGAATGTAAAATAGTATTTAACCTCATGCAGTTCAGCCAAGTAACGTTGAACTACTGTTGATTCAGCCAAACAACATTGACTTCAACGTCAGATGTCTGAGCAGAGCTGTTATCGACCATTGTCATCTTCTCTCTCCCCAGACGCGTCCCAAGTTGCGAAGATATCAAATACAAATGTAATGAATGCGAGTACAAAGAATTTATCTCATGCGATGCAAAGCTCAAAATGCTTTGTTTCGTGCAAAGCCTGAACATTTTATTGTTGGGAACAATGCCAAGCGGAAACAATGGGAACAAGACAATGGGAACAATACAACCTAGCGGAGTGAAGCAATAGTGCGGGGTCAGGTGCTCAAAAATATATTAGTTTGCGCTGAGAAAACGCCTGGTTTTCAGTAGCCTTGGATTGATGTCGGAATGACAGTACCAGATGGTGATGTAAAAATTGTAATGGAATCCGTTTAGAAAAGACAAGTGATAAGGAGATATGGTTAGCTTGAGGTGGCACTCACATGGCTATATTACATGCCATTCTGGTATTCGTATATTACATGCTATATAACATGCCTGACGACCAACAGACCTGAATCTGCAGAGCAGGATATTTTCTCGCGTTCAATACCACATCGACCCTCCGGTCAGGAAGTTTGGCCCGGAATTTATTAGCGTCCTCACGGTAGCATCCTTATCACGCATAGATTACGAACATCGCCTTTCAACATGCGGCGAAATTGCTGCGCGTGCTCGACTGGTCAACGATAATTTATGGCTTTAGTTCAGTGGTTCCCAAAGTGGGCGATATCGCCCTCGTGGGGGCGTTGGAAAGATCTAAGGGGGCGGTGAGGAAGAAAGGGGCAGTAAGGGGCGGCAGTCCGCGAAGTCGAAGTCGGAAGTTCGTACGTTTGTTTGACGATTTATACACAACACAGGCAGAACATGACTCCGAATCGAATAATTTTTCACGAGCTAAAAATCACCGTTTGGTAGTTAGGAATTTATATTCAAAATTTCGTTCGAATCTGTTCAGTAATTTGGGAGAAATTTTTTTTATCACTGCGAATTTCAGCCCGTATGACATATAACTCCCGAATGAAGGTGAAATTTAAAAATTTTCACAAGCTAAATATCACCGTTAGGTCCTAATAAATACATGTTGCAAGTTTTATCTAGCTGCGTTCATTAGTTTGGGAGATATTCCTTGGTCACTGAATTTGGAGATTGGCCATGAGACCGGCTGCGAGACCGGCCGTAAATTTGAATCGAATTTCAAGTGCTGTAACAATTAAAACTAAAAAATATATCGGTTTAATAAATGAGGTTCTATTTGTGAAATACACATTTGAGTTTAACCTTTCTCTTTGAAAATTGCAGCATACTAAATATAAAGAAAGAGGCGTTTGTTAGCGCATTTTCTCTTTTATGGAAAAATATGCGCCACTGTGCTCGTCATATCCGTCCGTCCGTCTGTCCATATGTGACTTCACGGACGGTCGGACGAGAAAATGCGCTCTCTGTCACTCATTGCAGTTAGTACTGAGTTATATTTTTTTAATATGTGTCTGTCGTACTCCTCGCTTTGGTTACTCCTGCGATCGGCAAAAGTAGCACTCTCATGCGCATTCTTTTCGCGGATTGGTTCGAAGACAAATTATTTTCTTTACTACCTCCTGCTTGTCAG